CTAAGAAGAGGTAACTGGCAATCAAGTTACATGATAGAATGTAGAGTGATAGAAACAGGTTAATTAAGTTATGAGAGCTAATTAGAAAAAAACAATGCTAAGGCCAAGCGTTCATATTAATAATAAGTCTCCATGTTATTTGCGGGCTGGCGGCCCAAAGATAGTCTGACAAGAGCGCTTGCTACACATATATTCTTCCAAATCTGATCTTCAGATTCAATATAATCAAAAGAAAATGAACAAATCATTTTGTAGGTATCAGTAAATTGATTCTCTGTTTTTGTAGAGAAAAAAAATAATCCTCTGAAGATTTCTTTTGAAAACGAGAAACAAATCTAAAGAACTGAGAGTGTCCAACATCAAGACTGACAATAAAGCTACAGAAATATATTAAGTACCTTGAGAGAGCAGAAAAAGAGGTACTAGAAAGAGACCCACAGACATCTGGGCTTTATTATGCCCAATCTTTAATGAAAGAGTAAGGCAATACAATCTAGATAAAAGATAATCTTTTCAACAAAACTCTGAAACATCTAGATATCTATATACAGAAAAACATTAAATTTCAACATATACTTTACATACTTCAGAAAAAAATTAACTGAAGATTACTCAGAAATTTAAAAAACACAAAACTATAAAACCACTAGGAAAGAAGAAAAAAATCTAGATGACCCAGGAATTGTCAGCAACTATTTAGATAATAATAGTAAAAACATGAACAAGATATGAGTAAGGTCAAGTCAGACAAAATCCCAGCACAGAGGCAAAAAGGTGGGAGCAAAAATCCCATCACTAATGGAGGAGTGTCAATACACATTCATCAACTATAACAAAATGTACCACTCTGGTGGGTAACATTGCTAACAGAAGTGGTTATGTATGTGGACAAGAAAAGGATATGTGGAAAAACATCTGCATCGTCTACTCAGTATTATTATTAACACAAACTGCTCTAAAAATATAAAACCTATTCAGAATTAATATTGTTGAAATTGCTTTATTATTAAAACCTACCTATAGATTCAATACAATTTCCATCAAAACTATGGAACTCTTCATAAATAAAGACAGAAAAATAAATCATGAGACCCACTCCAAAAGTCAAACAAACCCTGAGCATAAAGTGCAATGCTGGAGAGTCCCAGAATCTGAACTTGAATCATACTACAGAGACCATCATGACAAGAGTAAGATGCCACTGGCACAAAAGAAGACATGTAGTTTAATAGGGCAGGGTAGAAGACACACACAAAAAAAAAACCCATAGTGCTAAATCCATCTTATTATTTATGAAGGTGCAAAAAAATACATTAAATATATTACAGGAAAAAAATAAACCCAGCTTATTAACAAATGGAGTTTGGCAAACTAGATATTTGCATGGAGAATGAAGTGAGAGTGAGGTTAGATTAATGAATTTAGATCTATATCTCTCTGTCTAAAAACCCCCCAAAATTAATTCAAGATGGATCAAAGACCTTAGGGTAGAAAGACTTGAAAACTCAGAAGGACTGTAAAAAAATGTAGGGAAGATACTTCAGGATATTATAAACTTTATTATTAAAACCTTTATTTATCGCATAGACAGACAGAGGCATCACTCCAAAAACCAAATGGCCTTATACCTTATAAGACATGAGAAAAATGGAGTTTAGGTTTCTTTGGGCACAAATGTTAGAAGTGTCACATTTCTTCATTAGCACTCAGGACATTGTAATCTACTTCTGTCAGTGTAGGTACAGTTTTGATTTCTGAAGTTACCATTATCAAAGGTCAAACTAAAATGATATCATAAATAAATAACCAAGTCTTATGATTATATTTAGATTTATGGCCCAGATTTTTCCTTTACATTTTAAACTATCCCACTTCCTTAATCTGACCTCTAAAATGTTACCATAAATTTAATACATGTATATTTTAGATTTTCCCACCCATCCTCACAATCTTAACGCCCTATGTGTATATTTATTTGTATAGTTCAACTTTCTAGAGTAGCTTTTCAAGTAAAAATTAGTATTTATATCTTATACTACATCTTCTTGTGTTGTAATATGTAATACAATAATTTTGTTTTAAATTAAAATTATATGGTCCCCAAATAGAGGAGGACAAGTCTTGGGTCAAGGGTATACAAGTAGCTGCACTGACCTGCTAGAACCTCCAATCAAGTTCTCAAATTAAAATTTTAATTTAGATTATGATTCCAATTAGATAAAAATATTATGTAGCTAATCCATGTTCTATTTTTCTAACTTTTTCTATTCCCTAATATAATTTTATAGAAGATTTTTCTCATAACTTCCACAAATAACACAATAAAGTTCGACACTTGGAAAATGTAAATAAACACAAAAAAAGATGCTAAATTCCACCATCCATTCCAATATGATCCAACTACATTTAAAATGTGGCCTTGGACCACTGGGGCAAATCAGTTGGTAAAGGTGCCTGCTGCCAACCTGAAGGACCTGAGTTCATTCACTCTCAAGGGCTCATGATGAGAGGAGAGAACTGACACTAACATTGTCCTCTGACCTTCACGTATGTGCCATGGCAGGCAAAGTGATCCCCTACACACAGAGAAATAAATGAGTGAGCACAAGTAGATTGAACTAAAAGGTATATATCATCGCCTTCCCATTTTTCAGCTGTGGAATGTAAGACCTAAGTGTTGCAAGGTTAGAGAAAAAAAATAAATAGCGGTGTCAGGCCCTGGCACAGAATGTTCCTAAATAATTTTATCAGATTGCCCCTCATATAATTGTTTGCAAAGTTACTTGATAAATTTTCTAAAATAAACTCCAAAACTATTGCTTTCTCTTTATGTATTTATATATAAAGAGTCCAGAAACTGATTGTACTAAGCCTAATTAAAAGTCTAAGTCAAAAATATTGGGTGATTTTTTTAAAGGAATTTTAAATCTATATTCTGGTCTTAGCATTCTTACTATGTAAAATTGTCAACATTTTATTTAGACTTCATGTGCCTCAATTTATTATCTTTAAAATAAAGATGATGAAATCTGCTTCAGTAAATACATATGACCTTTTATATCAAAATAATTGGAGAAGTTGAAAACTATACAAATGTAAAATCTGGCCAAAAATTCACCAATCTTCCTAAAATCTTAGGCTTATATATTTATGACATATTGCTTACATTATTCTGCATTACATTAGTGTAAAGCTATTCTATACCAGCCATCAGTACCTATGAAACGCAAACTTTTAAATGTGGCCGTTAAATTTCTCTGCCAAATATTGTAGAGCCTCTTTACTAGCCAAACTTTTATGTCCCTTGCTCATTTAAGCCACAGACCAGTTGCCTATATAGCCTAGCAAAGTCATCCATTTCTAAATTCCTCCAGATAATCCTCATTTGATCTTAAATCCTTTAACTGCCCCCACCAAGTGACAATCCATAAGCCATGCCAAACTGGTCTCAGCCTGCTTTTCTAGGACAAGTCCCAGCCCCCACCAACCCCCCTGACATAAAAGGGATTTTTCCCTCTAGTTTAATCTTTCCTGATTCTCTATCCTGTAATTTCTGTGGGTAGTTCCTCCCTGTCGTTCATAGACCAGTGAATCCTGGTATCATCAACACTGTTTATTCTGAGTATCACAAAACCATCATTTTTGTATCTATTCAAATTAAGGGTGTACACAAATCTTTTACTCAGTTTTTTCGAACAGACGCACACACACACACTAGCTCTAGTTTTATGCCGGCAGGCTAACTGACATACTTTTTTCGCCCCTCTCTGACACTGTCCTTGCCCTTAATTTAGGTTCTGTTCTTCCCACCTCTCTGCTCCCTCCCTATCCAAACCTGGCGTCCTGGGGAGCACTGGGCATGCTCAGTAGCCACAGCTGATGCAGGAAGCAAACCCGTATCTTTTTTCAGCATTAGAGTCCGACTGGAGCCAAAGGCCCTAAATCAGTGGCCCAGAAATTGCTCTATCCTCCTACGACATCGTTTAGCTCTGCGTTCGAAGGATGGGTATGGATTTGGAAATAGACAGTTTGTGGCCGTTCTAGTCTGCAAGGTGTGTCACAACCGAACAGCTAAAAAACAGCTGCTTATGTGGTTTGGTCCTGCGGAGATTTCTGCTGTTCTGAACCGTGATCACGATGATAGAAGGCTAGGAACTAACGTTTGGCATCTCTGCTTCATCAAGTAAATGCTGACCCGCACCCTCCTCCACACTGCCCTTGCCTTAAATCCGAAGTCTGTGTGCCAGACAGAGGGATTGTGTAGAAGACAGGCAAATCAATCACTCCAAAAATTAAATCTAAGCAGGCGGCTAAAGGACCCAGAGATAAACAGATGGGCTAATTCCAAATGACAGCTTAGCAACCTTTCTGACACTTAAATGTTAATATTATGCCTGCCCCCCCCCAACAAAACGTATACCTTCCACGTTCAAGAACTGTGATACATTTCCCCTTGAGAAAAATACTGACCCCCCCTCTCTCTCTGAATGAGAGAGAGAGAGAGAGAGAGAGAGAGAGAGAGAGAGAGAGAGTCCTTTCCCCCTGCTTTCTACGGAGACTAAGTCTCTAGAGCTGCAATAGCAGCATCTGCCCTCACCTCACTGAGGATGAACGGAGAAGAAATGTACCAGAGGATAAAGAGGGACTTCTTTGCAGGGGCTTGAGCCAGCACGGCAAAGCCTGAGAAACGATCAACGATCAACAATAACAGACAGGGAGAAAGATACTGGCCCTGCTGTGAAAACCATTTCTGCAAACTGCAACAAATATGAGACATTTCATCACCATGCTGCATCCATATTGAGAAGGTGGAGGGGGGAGCATGTGCTCTGTGCTTTAAGCATTTCAGTCTCCGGAGATGGGAGGAGACCCTGTCCATATGTTGTGGGAGCTATCTACCACCCCAAAAGTACACTCTCCCCGCACCTAGCCGCGCGCCACTTGCCTGACAGGTTCTGCGGCAAAGCGGTTAAGCTATCTGACAGCAGGTTGTCTCTTACCGTAGGCAGCAGTGGCTCCATTTGGGCTCCCTGGTCTTTAATGTCCATGTTCTGTAACACCTCTGGTAAAAGCACCTTGCTCTGCGGTGTCTTCAGTGTCTTACACTCAGCCCGGCACTCGCTCAGCTTAGTATTCGGATCAGGTAGCTCTGAAGCAGGAGGCAACTGCACACTCCAGCTCACGACAGTCACATGGCTCCTACTCACTCGGGCTGCTGGCCAGGTTTTGCACGGACTGCCTCGGATCCTTGGGCCAGTAAGAGCGATCCCCAAAGCCCTGAATCACTACCCACACCTGGATACTTGTATAAAGTACAGCCGACAACACTACAGGTGCAAAGGGCATTACGAATTTTGCCTGAGAGGCTAACTTCTCTTACACAAATGAGTTCATGCTGGCCTCTACCAGCTCAGTCTGATTTTGACACCTTGAAGCACTCACTGCTTTCCAGAATCCCATAGGAAATAACAGTTCAAACATGGTGATGCCAACGCATCATTAAATGATGTTTGATGAGATATGACCTCATAACTATGTCAGTGAGCTTCAACTATTCACTAATTTAAAATTTTAAGTTATCATTAAATTAGTAAGACAAATTTTTCAATGTTTAAATTGTGTGAAACGTTGGTAAACCATACACTATTTAAAATATGATAAAAATGTTTCTAAAATTTGTCTCTCAAAAAAGAGAGGGACAGAAAATATTTTGATATCAAAGCACAATGAAAAGATAGCAGATCTGATGAGCAACCTACACATATATGCCTTTGCCTTAATTAGTTAATGGAGTCAAAGACTATCATTAGAGGGAAGGAGTTGGTGATGGTCATTGAGTGGCTTCATACATGCTCCCCGAAATTAATTGTGGGATCTATTTTTCTGAATGTGGAGTCAAAGCTGGAGCTTTTGGGTGTGCTAGGCAAATCCTCTACCACTGGGCTACATCCCCATCTCTTAGAATGTTGAGAGTCTCAGTAAGTAGAAAAGGCTATCCTTGAGTTAATTGGCTTCCTGTCTCTGTCTCCTAAGTGCTGGGATCACCGATGTGAGCCAGCACTGTTCCTGGTTGTATCTATTTTAAGTGATGAAATCCATATATCACTGGACTTCAGATTAAGAAAATGAAAGTCAAAAATAAATAAAAATAAAGATCATTCAGGAGTTAAAGAGGATGACTGAAAATTATGACTATAGTTCATTGTCAACTTAAAAAGTCACCTGCTTTTATAAGATTAAATTGGTAGGAATTTATATAAAATAATATTTATAATACACTAAAGTTTACGTATCGCTGATCACAGGTGGACGTATATATCACTTTTACTGCCTTCATCTTCAATACAATTCTTACAATAACCTTTTACTGCTTTATTGGAAAATATTAGTGCTTAGACCGTAATGACATGAACAACTGCTTTTTTCAGAGGATATTTAGATTATACAATGGAATTAAATCACAAGATACTTGTCTAAAAATTCAACTTGCCTTCATACAACAAATGCGTGGTAAATATCCCTAACTATACAAATAACCATAGCCAGCCATCAGAAGTAATTTATTTGAATAAAATAATAAAAATTTCTTTAAAACATTTATTTTTATTCAAGTAAGCAGTCCTAATTCACCCAAATTATACGTTTTCTAAATTAATTTAAATATTACTAAGAAAAGTCTGACTTAACTCCCAGTGGAAAAATAAAAGCAAAATTATATTTAAATTCTTATTAGTCAGCATTTTTCTGTAATATGTACTAATAAACTATGGGCATGTTTGGCTGCAACAACCATTGCGTGGGTGCTTACTCTACTAAAAGTACCAGGGTAACAGGACTCATCAGACCTGCTACTAAGGTTCAGGCTCCGTAAGATGGCTCAGCGGGAAAAGCCTCATGACCTTACTTACTTTCCAGAGCACACATCATTGAAAGAGAGAACAGATTCCTGCAACTGTACTCTGCCCTCCACAAATACACACAAACTATAAAACAATAATATTAATAAGAAATCCCATATTTCTGTACATTGCTGATCAAAAACATCAAATGCTTGCCTGTCAAAATGAAAGAAGAGAAAGAATATTAATTACCCTCATTTAATCTACTATCTCTACTTCATAAAATATCTTAAAGTTAACATCTAAAACCTGTGATAGTGGATCAATCAATACCCTAACCAACTCCGAGTGAAAGAGGTAAATATATATAAAACTGATAATAAACTAGATATAAAACTGATAACAGTCAGGAAGAAAACATTCACCACTAGTTAATGGAATTTTTACTAAGAAGACAAAAAAAAATCTAGCTCAGTGTCATTGGTTTTTAAGCTCTGGTGGTAAAGAGAAATAGAAGAGAAGAGAAACTCCAAATTGGATTAGTAACTCTGAAATGCATAAGAACATCTTTTATTTTGTTTGTTTGTTTTTATATCCCAACAAGTTTCCTCTCCCTCCTCTCCTCCCAGTCCCTACCCCCCGCCCCTGCACCCTATTCATTCCTCCTCTTCTGATTATCTGCAAAAAATGGAGGCTATCCCATGGATAGCCAGCTGTCAAGCTGTAGTGAGACTAGGCACCTCCTCTCCTACTGAGGTTGAACAAGGCTATCCAGCAGGTCCCAGAAGCAGGTAACAGAGTCAGAGACAGCCCCTGCACCCACTGTTAGGAGTCCCACAAGAAGACTAAATTACAGAACTGTAACATATATACAGAGGGCTTAGGTCAGCCCCCACCCCGCAGGCTCCCTGGTTGTTGATTCAGGCCAGGCCCTGTGAGACAGGGTTAGCTGGTGCTGTGGGTTTTCTTGTGGTGTCCTTGACCCCACTGACTCCTACAATCCTTCCCCTTCCACCAGATACCTCAAGTTCTGCCTAATGTTTGGTTGTGGGTTTCTGCATCTGTTTCCATCAGTTGCTGGATGAAGCCTCTCTGATGACAGCTGGGCTAGGTACCAATCTGTGAGTATAGCATGGTATCATTAGGAATCAGTTCATTGACTTTTTTTCCAGTCGTGTTTGTTTCTATGTGGGCTATCCTGCCTCTGGGTCCTGGCTCTAGGGGTGAGCACTCTCGCTTGCATGAGAGCATCTTATCTGTGTATCCTTAGTAGAGTTCAGAAGATGAATTGTCTGGCGGTTTCCTTTTTGAAAATTGTTCCAAAGTGAATTCTGTATAATTCCCAGTCCAAAGCTTTTTCTCCACCATAAAGTTTTCTTGGGTCTAGATCAGTAGTTCTCAACTTGTTGGTAGCATATCAGATATTCTTCATATCAGATATATACTTTACTGTTTATAACAGTAATTTATGGTTGGGGTCACCACAACATGAGGAACTACATTAAAGGGTCACAGCATTAGGAAGGTTAAGAACCACTGGGATAGATGATTAAAAATAGGTTCATCTTGACTAGAAATCTAATAAGAATCTATTGGAACAATCTAACAGCCAGAATTTGAAACATCATATTAAAAACTGTATGATTGAGTTCAACAAAGAAAGTAAATTAACGTTCTATGAACCCTACAAAAATGTGACAGCAGTCTTATTTTCAGTCCGTCAGCCCTACTATGTCAAAGGTGCTGTGCTCATTCGTGCAGTTTTGCTGTCATATCCAACAATATTTAAGTGGAATTTTCCTCTCTGAAGAATGAATGAAAGTAGAGATTGGACAGAGTTCAATTGCACAGAGAGGAATTACAGAAAGCACTGACCAAAAGAGTCACCCTCATCTCTAGCTTTCCATGTCCTGATCATTCCATTTGTTGGTCAGGAAAGAGACATAGCCACCAATGGTGTGCTTCCTTCCTTGATACGCCCTGCATCTGAGACTCCTGCTGAGCTCAATTTCATCTCATCTCCCAAGTGTACAGTTCATCCTGAATGTAATGTACTCTCAGCTTCTACCTCCTTTCACTATTTTAAGATCTGGAAATAAGACATTCACGTTAATACAGTGTTTATCTTGCATAAGAGACCATCTAATATTATTTGTATTTGAAGAAACACTGAATTTTAGAAATTACTAACAATACTGATACTCTGAGAAGTAATAATAATAATAGATTTCTTTTAGTATTGCATTTTTAACTTGGATATCAATGTCCCTTGCTTTGGTTCTTCTTAATATAAAATATCTGAATATTAGGTTGGTAAGAGTTTCAAAAATATTTTACTTATGATAATGCATCACAGCCCTGCTTATATCATTCTTTAAGTTCTGGCCCAAAAAGTCTATATTTTTTGGGACTATACAGATGTCCTGAGCAATTTAAAACATATTATGCTGATATGTAAGAAGAATCCAAAGTACTTTGTTGAATTTAACCAACTCAAGAGATGCCAAAAATGCTTTCTCAACAACTTAAAAATGATTTCTAACCACTGTGGGAAAAGTTAAAAGTGCCTACTCTAAAACATGGCTTCCAATGTAGGACATTGTTATCCACAATTAGGAAGCCATTACTTAAACTCATTTTACAGATGTTTGGGGCCCTAACTTGACAGTAATTTAGTCAATAACCAGAAGAAGAATATACAAACTATGTAATGTATTCCGGAGGCGGGCTGAAGTTCAAGCTTAAAGAGATCATTTAACCCACACATTTCTTAGCTCATAGCTGCTTTTCCCAATCCTGAAACTTGAACAGTTTTAATTTACTGATTTTAAAGTTTTGTCTCAACTTATGCTTAAAAAAAATCATGCACAGTCTACTTCCTCAATTGAGGGCTGGAAAACAGTATCTTGATCCAAACTAGATCAAATCAGTAAGACCTGAAGGCCTATTATATACTAGAAACTACATGGGAACAAGATATGAACTCTGCTCACAAAATGTCACAGATCAGAGACAAAATAAAACATTATTTGACAACATAATTAAATAAAAATAATATGTAGGAAAACAAAGGACAGGAAACAAAAATCAAAAGATAAAATGATTTTTAATGGCATTTTTCTCATTCTTGTTATAGAAATTTAAACTTCTAAAGGGATTTCTTTCATAGTAAAAGGCTAAATTTTCCCTTCTCTGTTATTAGAAAAAAGTTCAACTTATTAATTATACAATTATCAGACTTTTGTCAAATTATTAGTGTCTTTGCAAAACAATTCTCAATATTTCATTTCTGTTCCTAACTTGAAAATAATCAACATCACACTTATTACAAAGTTGATCGCATGGTAAAATAATCTTTTACTGTTCCTTTCTACATCAAGTTA